TTGCTAAATTATGATCATTAAGAATCTTAATGAACATATTTCAGAAATTGATAAATTATAATCGTTAAGAATCTTAACGAACATAATTCAGAAATTGCAAATTATGATCGCTAAGATTCTTATCGATCATAATTTAGAAATTGCAGAATGATGATCGTTAAGAATCTTAACGATCATATTTCAGAAATTGCAGAATGATGATCGTTAAGATTCTTAACAAACATATTTCAGAAATTAATAAATTATAATCGTTAAGAATCTTAACTAACATAATTCAGAAATTGATAAATTATAATCATTAAGAATCTTAATGATCATCATTCTGCAATTGCTAAATTATGATCATTAAGAATCTTAATGAACATATTTCAGAAATTGATAAATTATAATCGTTAAGAATCTTAATGAACATAATTCAGAAATTGCAAATTATGATCGCTAAGATTCTTATCGATCATAATTTAGCAATTGCAGAATGATGATCGTTAAGAATCTTAACGATCATATTTCAGAAATTGCAGAATAATGATCATTAAGAATCTTAACGATCATTATTCTGCAATTGCTAAATTATGATCATTAAAAATCTTAATGATCATAATTCGCAATTTCTGAATTATGTTCATTAAGATTTTTAACGATTATAATTTATCAATTTCTGAAATATGTTCGTTAAGATTCTTAATGATCATAATTTAGCAATTGCAGAATGATAATCGTTAAGATTCATAACAATCATAATTCTGCAATTATAGAATTATGATCGTTAAGATTCTTAATGATTATAATTCAGAATTCAGTAATTGCAGAATTATGATCATTAAGATTCTTAACAATCATAATTCTGCAATTATAGAATTATGATCGTTAAGAATCATAATTCAGTAATTACTGAATTCTGAATTATGATCGTTAAGATTCTTAATGATTATATTTCAGAAATTGCAGAATTATTATCGGTAAAATTATTAAGAATTGATAAAGTTTGAGAATAATAAATTTTATAATTGAATATCTATAAATACTGTATTAATATAATTTTGATTTTTAGTTCAAATTACAAATTATTATATATTTTTATTATTTAGTGTTCTTTTGGAAATTCATCAGGTTTTTCCAAAATAAAATAAAAATTATCTATTTTAAAAAATCCTACGCATTTTTTTATACTAGATGCTGAAATCCATTCATGCACTCCAAATTTCGAAAATGTTTTTAAATCATATAAACCATGCTTAACATCATGTGCATGTTCTACATAAGCAAGCATATATTTTTGTCCAGAATATTCATGAACAAAATAAAACAAAACTCTGCCATAATGAATCTCTAAAGCAGCTTGTTTACCAGATTGGTTAACCAAAATCTCATACTAAGAAATATAAGACATAAGACATAAATATTTTATAAAATTAAATTAAATTAATTATATTATCTTCTACTTTGTACTTACTCTAATACATGAATTATCACGATGAGTCTCATTAGTTTTAGTTAAAACAGAGCCAATCATATATCCACCAGAAGTTCTTAGTCTTGCAAATTTTGTTCCTATATTATTTACCTAAAATCAAAAGCTTAAATTATTATTAATATAAGTATTAATATAAATAATACTTTATTACCTCTTTTAAAGGACTATTTATATTTGAAGTATAAAAATTGCTCAAATTAGTTAATGGCTGATCTTTTCCTGAAATATTAACAAGTTTGTGTTGACAACTTGGAAACCAGAGTAAGTGAACTAATAGCAGATGGTTTCGAAGACCATACTGCACGAACTGCACTATATGATGAAATGAT